TGAAATTTTTATTAAATAATTCATGAAATATTTTGATTAAATTTGATACCTGGTGAAAGTCAACGTTAAAGTTTGCATAAAGGACGTACAGGTAGCAATGAATACCTGACTGCGGCTGGTCAACCCATAAGGGCTGCTGCTCGGATCATCCCTGGGTAGGATGTTATGATCTAATAAACTTTAGTAACAGATGCTGTGTGTTTACTTATCTGGTCCACACGTAATCTGACAAATCGTATCCAGGAAGAGGTACCGATTTATATAGTTAATCAATGGGCCTTTCACTCATATATTGTCAATTCTCCTCCTGTATGATGTTGATACAATAAATATCTGTGTCATTGACAACCAATAACGATCATCTGCAATGTCCAAACACAAAATTTTAATTTAAATCATACGTTAGCAGAAAAGGTGCAAGTACCATTTCTGAATTAAGAAACAAGATTTTTAGGTTCCATCTTGAAATCTATGACTGTTGTACATTGCACATGATTTGTTTGCTATATTTAGATCGCCTTCTTGATGTCGGATGAAACTCACATTCAGCATTTCGTTATTGCAGCTGGTTGTAATAATTGTTTCAAATTTCGTAAATATGTACTGGTATACTTTAATAGTGATTTCATATTTTCATAAATAAGATGAAAATTCAAGCTTTTCTTGAAAGACGAAGAATTGTACGCTTTGTGGGAGACTGATATTCTTGTATGTTAATTATATTCTGTCAATCATGAACATCACGTTGACATAGTCAATACTAATCCAAAATATTGGTCATAAATAAAAAATATCGCGAACGAAGAGTATAAAAATAATGACTAGTTCATGCTTTCAGCCTCGTTCAGGTCATAGATGTACACAATATGTCAGATGATTTCAGGCCATTGCATGTTTTGAGGTAATGACAACTCAGGATCTATAATTAATTATAAGTTATAGCTACTACTTTTATCTGTTTATTGAAATATATCGTAGATTTATTGAAAGTTTTAGGGACTGGGCTGACACTACGGAGAGATTTTTATGCGATGACAGGTTTTTTTGGTTATTGTAAAACATCCCATTGTTCCTGAACACTTGACCAAGCTCGGAGGTGATGGTAGAACTGTAAGAGTTGACAGCTTTGTGTTAAGATGATTAGGCCCTATCTCAAGCACATATGTTACAGATATTTAGGGAACATCAATTTGAACCCATTAGGGCTCAATTATCTTTGGTGTGGTTCTGTGATAAGAATTGTGATTGGTCCTTTGTCTGCCTGGCACACACATGGAGACAGCCAGCTGGGATAAATAGGAATTATCATTTCCTAGAGGGCTGTAAGGGATACTCAAGTCCTTGTCTTTCCTATACTGATTAGAAGGATAGAAAAACAACACCCGTCCTAATTTACTTCATTTTAAATCTGTCTGAGAGTTTGAATGATGTAACCCATGTGACACAACTAATACAGAATACTCTTGTATGGACACAACCCTGTGTGGACATAATAGAGTTGTGGGTCTGTATATGGATATTGGGTTGTGGGTCTGTATATAGATATAGTGTTGTGTGTCTGGTTGGTCTGTATATAGATATAGGGTTGTTGGTCTGTTCATAGATATATGGTTGTTGGTCTGTTCATAGATATAGGGTTGTGGGTCTGTACATAGATATAGGGTTGTGGGTTTGTATATAGATATAGGGTTGTTGGTCTGTACATAGATATAGGGTTGTGGGTCTGTACCTAGATATAGGTTTGTGGGTCTGTATATAGATATAGGGTTGTTGGTTTGTATATCGATATAGGGTTGTGGGTCTGTACCTAGATATAGGTTTGTGGGTCTGTACATAGATATAGGGTTGTGGGTCTGTATATAGATATAGTGTTGTGGGTCTGTATATAGATATAGGGTTGTTGGTTTGTATATCGATAAAGGGTTGTGGGTCTGTATATAGATATAGGAGGTCTGTATATAGATATAGGGTTGAAGGTCTGTATATTGATATAGGGTTGTGTGTTTGTATATAGATATATTGTAGGTCTATATATAGATATAGTTGTGTGTCTGTATATAGATATAGGGTTGTGGGTCTGTATATATATAGGGTTGTTGGTTTGTATATATATAGGGTTGTGGGTCTGTATATATAGGTTTGTGGGTCTGTATATATAGATGGGTCTGTATATAGATATAGGATTGTTGGTTTGTATATCGATATAGGGTTGTAGGTCTGTATATAGATATAGGGTTGTGGGTCTGTATATAGATATAGGAGGTCTGTATATAGATATAGGGTTGAAGGTCTGTATATTGATATAGGGTTGTGTGTTTGTATATAGATATAGGGTTGTAGGTCTATATATAGATATAGGGTTGTGTGTCTGTATATAGAATAGGGTTGTGGGTCTATATATAGATATAGGGTTGCAGGTCTGTATATGGACACAGGGTTGTGGGACTATATATGGGTATAATGTTGTTGGTCTGAATAGAGATATAGCATTTTGGGTATGTATATAGATATAAAGTTGTAGGTCTGTATATAGATATAGGGTTGTGGGTCTGTATATGGATAGAGGGTTTTGGGACTGTATGGACAAAGGGTTGCCTGTCTGTATGGACACAGGGTTATGGGTTTCTATCTGGACACAGGGTTTTGAGTCTGTATGGATCATGGTTGTGGGTCTGTATTGACAAAGGGTTGAGTGTCTGTATGGACACAGGGTATGGGTCTGTATGGACACAGGGATGTGTCACTGTTTATGTATATGTCTGGACAAAGCATTGTCTGTAATGTGTGTCTGTATGGATACATGGAATTAAGACTGAAAGTTAAGGTTTATCACCAATACAACAAATGCTACACACAACCAAGTCCTGAGAAGTCAGACATGAGCAAATGGAGTAGAAAGTACTTGAGGTTGGAGACACCACTAACGATTTGAAAACATTTGCCATAAGTTTCCAGCAGTCGTGACAGAACACATGGAGCAGCAATGTATGAGCACATCGTAAGGACCTATGTACAAGGGGAGGGCTTCAAGTGGTGTGCCACTGATTAAGTGGTTGATTCGATAATGAAATGGGAAAAAAACGTGATCATATTCCTGCAAAACACAAGATAGAGAAGATTATGTCATAAATACCAATTTCTTATCTGACGCACCAAGATTTTCCCAGCATTCTGTTGGCACTGGACAGGAAGATAGCACTAAACCTCTCACTGTGACAACTGCGGGCGTGCAAACTAGTGTCATTATGATATAGACGTCCCCTATATACAGCTACGTATGTATGGTAAATATCGCCTCAATTATATCTAACAAATATCGCTGTGGCTACACTGTGTCTCCTGCTTTTCTTTCCAAACATTATCATCAATTCAGTTCTTATAATGACAGTTTCACTGTTTCTTTTTTTTTCTCTCTCTATAACAGACATAATCAGATGAAGTTGTTAAAAAAAATTTATTGCCGTAGGAGCAAAATCAAATTTAATGTCAAAATGAGTTTTATTTCTTATTTTTTCTTCAGTTTGATGATGTGAAGATATCAGTAAAAACAGAATGGTTTGTTAAAATATTCTTGGGGAGTTGACATAAATTCAAATTACATATGTCCTTAACAATGAAAGTCCTCATTTCCTGCCACTAATAGCTTGTTTGTTTGTTGGATTTATTGTCCCCTGAACAGCCAGGGTCATTTTGAGACAAGTTCTCTTAGTGGTAGCTGGTTGTTACCTCTGTGAACAACTTACTGGAGGCCCGCCACAGCACATAGCATCAATACAAACTCCAAATGACATTAAGTTGCTAGAGATATGATTACACTGATTTGGGGCAGACTCCAATGGAATTTGATGAAGTGGACATAGGTCTGTCCCCTGACAAAATGGTCAGAGATAAATATAAATCTTGTGATGTAACAAATACAAATAATTGAAAATAGTTATTTGTTGGTTTTTATTTACTTATTAATTGTTTGAAAACATTTTACAAATGCATATATTTCAAATTTTTATGGTGTGGGATGATGAAGGTGTATGTTAATACCTTGTAGTGGTGTGTGATGGTGGTGTTGGGTGGAGGTGGTGTGTGTTGATGTCTTGTGGTAGTGTATCGTAATGGTGGTGCATGTTAGTGTCTTGCAGGGGTGTTGGCATACATATATTGATGGTGGTGTGTAGTGGTGTCTTGTGGTGGTGTGTGGTAGACTGGTGTGGGGTGGTAGTCGATAGTGTGTAGTAGACTGGTGTGGGGTGGTAGTCGGTGGTGTGTGGTAGACTGGTGTGGGGTGGTACTCGGTGGTATGTGGTAAACTGGTGTGGGGTGGTAGTCAGTAGTGTGTGGTAGACTGGTTTGGGGTGGTAGTCGGTGGTATGTGGTAGACTGGTTTGGGTTGGTAGTCGGTGGTATGTGGTAGACTGGTGTGAGGTGGTAGTCAGTGGTGTGGTAGACTGGTGTGAGGTGGTAGTCAGTGGTGTGGTAGACTGGTGTGAGGTGGTAGTCGGTGGTGTGTGATAGACTGGCGTGAGGTGGTAGTCGGTGGTGTATGATAGACTGGCGTGGGGTGGTAGTCAGTAGTGTGCGATAGATTGGTGTGGGGTGGTAGTCAGTGGTGTGTGGTAGACTGGTGTGGGGTGGTAGTCGGTGGTGTGCGATAGACTGGTGTGGGGTGGTAGTTGGTGGTGTGTGGTAGACTGGTATGGGGTGGTAGTCAGTAGTGTGTGGTAGACTGGTGTAGGGTGGTACTTGGGGTTGTGTGTGGTAGACTGGTTTGGGTTGGTAATCAGTGGTGTATGGTAGACTGGTGTGGGGTGTTAGTCAGTGGTGTGTGGTAGACTGGTGTTGGTGGTACTGGTGTTGTGTGGTGATGCCTTGTGGTGTTGGTGTTGGTGGTACTGGTGGTTCAGGATAGTAGTTTAGTCATTGTTGGGTCAGTGTATAAAATGAAATGGTTGGAGCATATATAGTGTATTAACATTGAAATCTTATTCATTAAGGTTAGCAAACAGTAGAGGAGGATTTCAGGTTTATCAGTGGGAGGAGACACAGAAAGTCAATTTCAAAGGTAAATTAACCATAAAATATAAATTAAATAAGAAATGTAGGTAATTAAATGTGTTCCCACTGTTGTCTCTCTGTATGTTCCATAGACTCTGCCCAGATAGTAAACAAGACACCATTTGATTGCTCTAAAGGGTTATGACAGTGAGTCTGGCTACTGAGAAAAGATACATCTAACTTCTAATACCAATTTTAATGAAGTTAAATTGAAATGTGCATAAAAATGAAAAACGCAACCAAGGAAGTCTTTCATCAAAAATCAAGTCATCTTCATTTTTTTTCGTAGTTAAATTTGAATCAAAATTTGATATCTGTGAGAATGATATTGCCATAATGAAGTATAAACAGCGCTTCTGTTTGGGTAGCTATCCTCCTGGTATACACAGTAGATAAGGGACACTCGGGCTGTGCTGACATACTGTTGCCAGACCTGTAGGGCCATCATCCCCTTGTCAACAAGATTCCTCACAGAGAGAAGGTGAGCTCTAGTAGTTCATGAGATATTTTGTACACAAGTTTTTTTCTTATTTCAACAAGAGGTCAAATGGGCTTGTATAGGTCTCATTTTCTTAACCAAATTGCTGTTAACTTGAAAGCAGAATTTCAAAATTTAATAGATGAATAGACCCTTTTTAAATCTACATGACACAGTTTATGAAGAGAAAACTTTGTTGAAAGCTTCCATTTTTTCATGTGACTTTGGAAATTGATCAAGGTCATTAATGTGGTTCCCAAATTTAGTTATAGTATTCCTTTATTCTAGTATGACAAATTTCATAATTCATCAGAACCCTGAAAAAGAGTCGAGGTCATTCCTTTAAACAAATGTGATATCTCTTCATCCCAGCATTCCATTCAGAAAACATGCCCATGAGATTCTTGTTTTTGAAGAAGAAGCTGTTTTCAATTTTTCACACATTTAATTTCTAAGCCATTGATAGTGGGTCAAGGTCATTACACATAAAATCAACTTAAAAGATATTAGTTATCCCAGCATGCAACTGATCATAACTCTGGACCTTCCTTCAACACTTTCCACCCTCTTTGACCTTGAAAACTTGTCAATGTCATGCTATTGAACACACTTGATATCCCAGCAATTAAATAAATAGAAAAATGTCATGACATCCAGGTGCTTGGTTTTTCATGTTTTTAAAAGGTAAAAGTTATGCTTGTAAATTAGGGAAATTATACAATGTACTTATTTACATGAACTCTTGGGAGTTCGGATTTATTTCAACAGGTTTTCATTATGTTGTTCGTAAAATAATATTTTACTTTTTTAAACAGACAGATATATATATACAATTTACAAATGATAACATCTAAGTTGACCTTTTGAAATTTTATCAGAAAATTTATAAACTGAGTAACATTCTACTGAGAGTATGAATGCTTCCAGCTGTGGGTTAGGGTAACATCAGTTACCCAACATCATCATGGACACCATAGCCCCGAGAAATCTAAATATTTCACAAATAAAGATTGACAACCGTGGGTGTCAAGTCCATAATATTTTGAAAAGAATCTTTTTTATAAGATAAATTTTTCAGCTTCAAGACTTTCTATTTGCAATAACAGGGAAACTATGTATGATAAACTATCTGTAAGAGACACCAGAGTTTACATCATATCTGCTTCAATATAAATCAAATGTTTGCGATATAACACTTGATTCGGTATTTTATCCTTTTTACATCATCAATTAATTTTACATTGTACTTTGATTTCATAAATAAAATCAACTAGATTTTGTATTGTATTTTTGTTACAAGATAGAATGAGGTTTATCTATATTTTTATATATTTTTTTGTTTTTCTTGTTTGTTTATTTATTCATTTTTTTATTGATGGGTGGGGGGGAGTTCTTTTTTTTTGTTTTAATTAATCAATTTAAGTTTGTTTAAATCAAATATATAGAAACACCTACATATACCTGGAATATAAATAAATCATGAGTTAACTGGTTGACAGTTACGATCAATTACCCTTAGTAATATAGTATGATTACTATCTATCAGTTACTTATATACACACTGAGTTTAATCGGCCAAGTATGTCTGCAGAGGGGTAAACATCAAGATCAAAGCTGGGATGCTACCTCACTGCTTACTGGAGTGTGACCACAACCTCACCACATAGAAGACTGAGATCAGTGTGGAATTTGTGGGTAAACAGTAAAGTGAATGTTGTGATAACTAGTGATACATACATCAATAGGAGTCTTTAACAGTGAGTAAAAATGGCTTTATAATGTCTGTTTAAGAATAAATAACAAAGATGTTAGACGGGTAAAAGGCACTATTTAGATAGGCTGTACCGCTATATTGACAGGTGAGTCATCACCCTAACAGAACTATAATGATAGGTATGTCTAAATTACAATTCCATTACCCCCTCCCCACACCCAATACCCACCCTTAATTCCACTGTCCCCTCCCCACACCCAATACCCACCCTTCATTCCATTACCCCCTCCCCACACCCAATACCCACCCTTAATTCCACTATCCCCTCCCCACACCCAATACCCACCCTTAATTCCACTATCCCCTCCCCACACCCAATACCCACCCTTAATTCCACTGTCCCCTCCCCACACCCAATACCCACCCTTAATTCCACTATCCCCTCCCCTTCCCACACCTAAAACCCACCCTCCACTACTTTTTTTCTAACACCCAATACCCACCCTTAATTCCACTCCACTTACTTTTTTCCAATTCCACTATCCCCTCCCCACACCCAATTCACTATCCATTCTATGACTTTGATACCCATCCTACCACTACTCATTTCCTAACCCCAGTATTCAGTCTTCCTATACCCATTCCTCATCCTAAATACCCCTCTATCACTACCAAATCTCGATCTCTAATACTTTCACTACTCATCCTGGATCTTTAAACCTAAATATCTGGCTTTCCAATACCAATTCCTATTCCCAAATTCCCATCCTTCCACTTCCTCTTCCTCCACCCACATACCCACCCAAACACTACCCATATTCCTCACCCTAACATTCTTCATTCCCTGGGCCCATGCACTTTCCAACAGCTGCCATCATATTCCCAGCCTCCAACTTAATCTCCTCCCTAACTTTCCCTTTACCCCTAAATACCCATCCCATGTCAAACCTATCTCTCCCAGTCCACCTAAACTTTTTGTCACCCCCTAAACCCCTTGAATATCACATGTGATCCCTTTTTACCCTCACCCGTTGTTGTCTTCTCCCATTCATCCATATTCTCTGCCCCTTCCCTCAAACTTCAACCTAACTATTATGGTTATATCCCATCTATATGAAACATCCCCATCCCCCCCCCCCCACTCCGCCCCGCCCAAACCCCTTTAAGGACAACCAGATTTCACAGTATTCAGAACACACAAAAGCACAAACTTGTCATTTCCAATCTATAGTACTTCAGAGAAATATAGTATTTCATTCTTTAATAAAAAACTTCTTTCACAGAATTTGGAAAAAATTTTTCTTTAAACTGCTCTCTGTTTTATTCATTTTTCTCCATAAGATTAAATCAATTTTTTCTGATTTCCATTGTTCTGATTTGGAAAATGATTGCCTGCTAACAATATACAATGCATGGTACCAGTAAGGTATATATCATGACAGGTTCTGACGTGGACACAGGATGGACAGGGTGTATAACCTTACACTAGCCCTACCCTATAGAAATAGAGGGAGATCTGTTCCCATGTCAAAAGCCAGCGAACACATTACTTGAGTCATCATTGATTGTACTACGATTTGTATATAAACATTATACACGTCAAAACAAAACCTCGGTTTGTCCTCCTGGAGTGCAATGTACAAAATTAGTAGCAAGCTTTCTTGGTAAGACTCACCTTTGCTAAACATAGACCCAAATTAAAATAGTTTACCTGTAATTTTTGTGCTCATCACCGCGAAACTAGAGATGATCAAAGAATGTCATTGAAGCGCGATCCCTTCGTACTGAATGACCCCATGCCTTTCGTTGACATAACATATTGAAAGTTGTGGGAATGAAAAAACAGTAAATATGTTGTAGGAAACGAAATAAAAACTTTTGGTCTGAATGAGAATGACACTCATACCCCCCTCAGAAAGTCATTCCAGATGGAATAGCTTCATGACACGATAATAATTGGTATATCTTAATTTTCGGAAGGAGAAGAAAGGAGAGTTTTTGTGGGTGAATTAATTTTACCCTGACAAAACCCTAATAAAAATGTAACCACTAGCTAGGAGGATTTTAAAGTTTGTGGTAGAGGGAGAGGTGGAAGAGCTTAAGTACCATACATGATCAATTTAAATACACCGCTCTGAAAGCATGTGGAGAGGTGGACAGGGGATTTATCGAAGTAAGCAATGCAGTCGAGATCCAGGAAGAGAATAACCAAAATTTTTTTTTAAATTTCATCAAACTTTCCAGATCAAATTATATAAATGTAAAAATCAAATTTCAATACAGCATCACTTTGAAAATATTAAAAAAATACATATTATTTAATAATACAAATTTTGAAAATATATGTGTTTGGTGGCATTTAATATTGTTTTAAATTTAAGATATGTAATTTCATGAGGAATTTCTATTAAAAAACAGAAGAGGAAAAAACAAGAAAGCGTGATCAGCCGCTTATTATTTTTACTCATTTCACCAATGTAATTTCAGGATGTGTTATTTCTGAGACGCCATTGTCTATTGTACCTACAAGGAACCATCCTATCTCGATGTTTTATCCGTAATGACAATTTCTCTATTATTAAAAAATAAGACATAAGCGTTGGATTGTAAAACACTAGTGTAATGGTCTCTGTTCCCACTTTAATGTATTTTTATTGTTACAGTGATTCAACATGCAGGTACCTGCAGTTTCGAATCCTCCTCGTTTGTCAGTACCAAACCCCCTACAAAGACAGGTGAGAAATTCATACCAGAAAAGGTAAGAAAAGTATACCTGCTGGAGATTCCTCGCAGTGATAAAATTTTCATCACACAATAAAACAATTGTGATGATAAGACAGGCAGATCCTCATCCCAAACAGACCATCCTGTGTTGGACAGATTTTATTTCACCACAGTTCATCCGGCTTACAATCCACCCCAGTATCGTCAATAACACACATGCAATTCAACTCAGAACAAAGACAATGGGTGCAAGTACGTTTTAAATAACATCTTGTACTTTTATCAAGATAGGATTCACCCGTCGTTACGTCCAGTCATGCTACCCTAGTCTTGCTACAAAGTTCTATCTGGTTATATTAACACCTAAACAACAATGTGCTTTTACCTTAGGTATATGACATTTCAAATATAAATGTACTATTGTACTGAATTTTGCGGGTATGGGCCCATAGTCGGAAATAATCCAAACCCTCTATTTCTCTGATTTCAGTGTTAAGGCCCACATTCAGCAACATACCCATCCCTCAATTGTTAAAGGTCCAAATTTTTAGACAGCACAATATCAAACCTTGTTTTTGAACTATCTTCATATACATTTCATTTCATGTCAGAATTTTCTGTGTTTAAATTCATTGTCTTTTTATTGTTAAATTTTCAGCTAAAAGACACATTAGTGGTATAAACTTGACAAGATAATTGGTGTTTTAGGACCAAAGAATTCCAACCCTATATATCTCTTGCTCAGTAAGCAGTGTAGACTAATTTTGTCACGAAAAACAAGTTTGTTATCACAATGCCAAGACAACCACAGATGAGCGTGAAAGATGTTTAATCAGCGAGTAAATGCATATCACAATTGACATGTTTCAGGATATTTATGATGTAACAGATTGTCAGCCAATGAGATCAATGATAACAGTAATTTGTTTAACACTACAAGCGGATATGTACATGGAATAATTGTATGTTATCATGTCCTGAAATATACCAAAACAGTAGGTAAACATGTACCATGAATAACATACCCTAATAATACTCAAAATACATGATTAGGAATTACATTACTAAGTGTCTGAAAATCAATTTCAGATCACCTCGGAGAGATACATCGTATTTAAATGCAAAGAACTGTAATTTATGTTAAGGAAACTCTTTAAAGGATTTAAAAATTCAAGGAAGTGATAACAAATAAATGTACACCTGCAGTGAAATATATTCAAGATTGTCATGAACTGAAGAAAGAATCAGACATCTTAATAATCATTAGATTATATGCGGAAGCCTCCATGACAAAAGGAAATCTGGTTGCAATGTGACCAAATGAATTTACAATGCACTGACAAAAGGAGTCGCTAGGTGATCATTCGAAACATATAAGTCAGATAACTATTTATCTTTTTACTGACTTTTACTGCTAATAAACCTTACAGGTTAATCTCTGACTGTCTATGATACACGTTGGAAGACATGGAGATCCTTGAAAAAGTACTTGGAAAAAATTAGGTCAAAGTGTTCTGGAAGGATATGCTATAATCAATTACAATCGTTATTTAAATCTAGATCATAATGTCATGTTCTCAAAATGAGAGCTGGTTCTATCATATAGAAATGAAATCACTGGACATTAAAATGAGCACAATTCTAACTTCAAATTGTTCAAGATTAAACACATTTCATCTGTTTTTCAAATCCAAAGTTTTAGTATGTATTGTGAACCTTAAATATCATCTTACAAAAACCAATGAAAACAATTTACTCAATATCACAGCAGATTCTATTGGCTGCTAGAGCTTAAAACATGGTAATGATGAAGTTCTGGAAATAAAGTTTCTGGGAAGGTCATTTCTTCCACGGAAAATAAATTAAAGGTAACTTACCTCCCATGCACAGGACAAGTTTTCAAGGTTGTTTTTCAGAATTCCAGTGAAGGGCCCAAACTTCTGACCAGCAGGAATATCAACCTTAGCCCAGACTCCAAGACCTTGAAAGTTTTTAGATTCTTTAAGTTCAAACTGCTTGGGTATGGGAATATCTTCTGGTATGTAGACAGGGGGATGGTCAGTGTCATCAGCTGGGTGGTCATCAAGTGAGTTGGTCCGAGAAAAGTTGACAGATTCTTCAGCGTCCTGGTCAGTATTTGTGTGGTTGCCCAAAGGTTCAAAGGCTTCCTCACAATCACCAGCATCTGAAAACAGAGACACAGAACAATGAAATCAAGACTGAATCAACCTGAATCTGACTTCCTGTCTCATTATCAAAAATCTTTTTCCAGTTTACAAGTCTGGATAAAATCACTTTCTCCATTCTTATTTCAGTCTTACAATGGAGAATCTTTATCCATTTGAAGAAAAATAAAGAAATGTCCCTTCTGACATCGTGTTAAGGAACATTCTGGCTTAACATAATGGAGACTTCTGACCAAGACACGGACAAAGCAGAAGTTACCAACAGAACCAACCAATCACTATCTAAATTTAAGAAATGGTATCAAACAAAAAGTTTGTGACTGTTGTACATATAGAGGGATAGAAAAAATATATCACTGCATATGCGACTGTATATAACTGCTAAATAGAATTTATGTGTAAAGGCAATATCAAAATTCTTCCTTTGAATGTCTTCATTTCTGGACAAAAAAATAGAGTGCAAAATAGTTTGCGGCTTAAACTGCAACACTTTTGATAATTATTTTCTCTTTCCTTGGTATGCACTTTTTAAGTTAAGTTGTTTTTAAAATTGGGCCCATAAGCTTGATTCAGCTGTCTGTTTGTTGACAGTATGACATTTATTGCAACAGTGCTTTGATGGAGGTCCCTGCAACTGGCCCTGCCATGAGTGACCAAGTCATGAGTGACCTTGGCTTAAGTGACCCTGAGTGACCTTACCACAAGTGTATACCTTTTTAAGTGATCCAATTGTGTGTGATAACTGTTGCCATAATTTTTTATACAAGTTTTCATAACTCAAGCAAGAAAATGATGTTTATTTTTTGTTCATAAAGAAATCAAAAAGGCTGAAACAAGTGTATTTAGGTTTGTACTGAAACATCCTGTGGTATCAGATTTATCAAAAGCTAGTAAATTAATTTATTTTCTAAGCAGGCAGATTTTACATGCATCCTCAGTTCCAATATCTGTCCTAAATCAACCATATGTTACCATGCAAAAACACTTTATCACTCGTGCAAAATAATTGTCCAAAGACTGATAAGCATACAAATATCGGCTCTGCATAAGCAAATATTGAATTTCTTGATTGATTTTTGTTTAGTGATATAGATCCATGCAAAATTACAATATCAAACATAACTCTTCTATCTATTTTGATTGACAAAAATTATATAATGCTATATTATCGACGCTTAAAGACAAAATTTGAAATTTTTGTCTTGATTTAAGTTAACTAGGCTCAGAAACATTGTTGTAGGTCATCAATTTATGAATCTTTTTCTTTACAAATCCCCCACCCTCCCAAGCTATAATTGCCAATCCTAATTAAAACTAATAATTGTGTTAATTTCAACAGACATGACAAACTAACAATTGGACGAGGAAAACCAGTGAAAGGATGATGAGTGAATCGTGTGCAGGATTTTGATATTATTTATCATGTCTGTTCAGGCGTGACAGGACCCAGATTTCCAGCGGTGTGATGTTGATATCGCTGTGTTAAGTTCCTAAATGTGTTTTTACCTGACAGTATTGACGAGATCAAAGAATCAAAGAGCCTGTCCAGCAAGGACTATCGGATGACGACTCATTTCCCTGAATTGTGTCTTTATTGATGTGTTGAAGAGTTCTTTTTAATACGGACGACCAACGTGTGCTGACAGGGATGTTTGTAGCACGATGATCTTTCTCCGTTCAATAGGATAAGGATTTTCATTTAATACAGCATAATCACTATGCAAACAAAAATTTTATTCAATTTTCATTTGTTGGTGTTGAACAGAATCACTTTAGCTGCAATTTACTGACTAAATCAATAGAATTAATGTCCGATTACCAGCCAATTTAGATAGCCGCTAACGTTCAACATAATACTAATAACTGCATGATAACAGAAATTTTATTGAACACCAAACCGTAGGATCCCTTCAGAACAAAGGATGATAGGAAAACATATCATTTGCTGGGATTGTCGGAAGGATTAAGCGATATGCAGGATATCCATCACGAAGCAAAAACTGAAACACAAGTACGAAAATAACAAAATGGCTTCCCCTACAGATTAGATCTGTATGGAAACAGCTTTGTTAATTTGTTTAATACGTGAAGAATTTAGTCATTATAATGAATGAAGTGGGCCAATTTAACGACATGGTACTTGAAACTATCAATAAATCACATACAACAATATGTTGAATTTCCTATGATAGAAGAATCAGTTGGTCTCAAAAACTGTAAAGGTCACTTGAAACATTAATATTGCTTATTGTAGATCAATTATAAACAAGTCAATAAGCAAGCATCAGCAAATTACAATACAGAACTGTAAGTATTGAATTTGATCATGACAATCTGAAAATGTCATATCTGATGATTCTAAATTCTGTCCTTGATTTCTTGAAAATTTTAAACTTGTACTTGTAAATGCTGCTCTCAGCATCCAAAAGATCTGCAAATTTTCAAGTCCTGCTTGATTCGGCCTTTAAGAATTTTATTAATGTAATTGAAAAAATTACAAAGAAAAGGTTTTACTTATACATAACGCCTGCTGATTTACAGTCTTTTATTAATCATTACATAGTACTTTTATTGGTTACAAAAATTGACAAAGATATATGGATATTTCTTTTATATCTAATAATCATGAGATATGAAATAGATAACATTGAATTTAATGAAAATTTATGAAAAGGAAAGATAATTTTTCAAGATAAATTATATCAAAGTCATATGTTCAAGCTATTTTTTATATACAATGTTTACTATGCAGCAGTTTTGTTTTTGTCTCATTTTTGCTGACAGAATATGAGAAATTTTAAAAAGTTTATATTTTTCTCATTGCAGTAAATATGAAAAAAAAATCTTTATTGTAACGATAGAATTTCCAGTAATGATATAATTTGTTGGAATGGACCAATCAGAATGCTGCTATGTATTTGCTGCACAGAAATCAAATGTTTTAATTTTCAGAAGCAGATAAGTGATAAATGGTTACTATACAACACTCTTGTTGCAATATGGAATAAAATTTGTCTTTAATTTCACATTTGATATCAATTTTTCAAAACAACAGAAAACGTTAGCACTGCATTTGTAAAATTGTCTAAAGAATAGTCAACATGAGATTTGCTAGGTAGCAAAATCATTTGAACAGTTCAACTTTAATATCTATAACTGAAAATGTTTAATTTATTTCATCATGTTTATAGCTTATCTAAGTGTTTCACTGATAATTTATGAAACAAATTTTAACATTAAAAAGAAATCCAAAACTAAAAAAAAAAAAAAAATATATTTTTTTCTGATATTATATTATGAAGCTTTCAAAAATTATAATGACAGGTCTTTTTACTTACATTAATGTACTTCTATCTAAATCTTAATAAACAAAAACACCATCACAATATTAAATTAAATGAATCCTATAAATCAGGAAGCAATCTGAATGATTTGCCAAATGTCAGTCAGTGTGGCGGAAAATTTATTCGTCCGAACAGATACAGAATTTGGTCAGAGTCTCCGACTGTGACAGACACTTTAGTAAAGAAACTCTCTAAGGAAATGGGCTTAAGTCAATATTGACCAGAAATCTTCAGTTTGTCTGTCACATGAAGAAATCGTCACAACCATATCCTGACAGGACCTTGATCGAAAATCCAAGAAGAATATTGTCATCTGTGGTCAAGTGAGGAGGCCGAGTCGCCCATGTGTAAAGTTTAATTTATCTTAACGATATCAATTTGTAGGGAGAGTGGAGATAATACGGTGTGTTCGTCCATGTGGATAAAAGGTAAAAAGCCGAATGAGAAACATCTCCACCAACAAAAGTCTATTTGTTAAGTGGTAGGATTTTTTATAAGATATATAATAGGAATGTTTCTTTTAGACATGTCAGAGTTCTAGACAAAACTACTAATGTCTAAATATAAATTTCATCTCAGACTGAAAATGGACATGACAATGATTTTAAAATTACTTTTTTTTTTTTTTTTTTGAAATATTGATAATAAAAAGAGATTTTTGAAGTCATAAGTTATCTGAATTCCTTTACAATATATATGTTCTGCACCTAATGAGATGAATTAATTCAAATTTTTCAAATGCTCTCATATGATTAGATAAAAGTGATGATTTGAGAGATAGATAATGTGTCTTCATTTTCTGTAAAAGCTTTAGGTTCTTTGAACACTAGACCTTGAACATCACATCAAGTAACGACAGTACAAGTTTGGATGGCAAGAAAATTTCTTTCTTTAAATTAAAATGTGTGAAGGGCAAATTAAACTGGCCACTAAGCTTGACAGGTCTACTCTTTAATAATAGACAATTTAGTGACTCATCGTACATATGTACAAGATCAAATACGTAGATGATTCCTCCAAACAACACTTATGTAATGAAAGGAAAATTCAATCTAAACCTTATAAAGGTTTAAATGATACTTAAATGTCCTCAATTTCTTTTTTTTTTTTTTTTTAACAATCTAAGCAAGGTTACGTGTTGTCCTCAATGATAACATTTTATTAATTATGTCCTTAAATTGGTTTGCGATTCATCTTTTCTGTAACTCAATAACAACACAGGTACCTGTGACTTCACAAGAAATACCTTCGTCATGTTGAGGTCAGTGAGTGGAGCCCCTCCTACCAGAGAGAACTCATCAATACCATTTCATACAAATCCAATCCATTCTCTTTATTATACACCCAATAAAGTTTTCAATACAGAAAAAGTACGTCAGTTGAGAAATTTCTATCTATGTTTCTATCACATACAGACAAGAATAACAAAAAGATGTTCTGTTGATACATGGAGCAATTTTTTGTCATAATATCAAACTTGATTAAATGCCTTTTGTTAAACTGCCACTTCGTTTATTGCCAATTATTTCAAAGCACTCATTACATTGTCATTCTTTACAATCTATTAAGGTATAATGCCTTGTGTTCTATATTGCCACTTCAAATATCAGTAATTAAATCTTTATATGTTTCCTTTACTATATTCCAAAACTACTAAATTTATCTATCATCCCAGATAGTGTTTTATGTAATAGAACAAACACCTCAGTTTGAAAGCATGGCAGTTATCTTTTTAACATCCCAGATAGTGTTTTATGTAATGGAGTAACACTGGCAGTTTAACAAGGTACCTCTCATTGTTGGCATCAGTTTGAAAGCATCTTATCCAAAAGCCTCATACATTATGTATTGACTACTTAGATTTTAATTTTAATCCATCAGTCTGTGACAGCATGGACTAAGTATATTCTAAAACTTAATCTGCATTTTACAATGTATAGAAAAATTTAAGGGAATTTTTTGAAAGATATCAGAGTTTTGTTGCTTTGCATATGAATGTATGCCTTTGGTTGTTGTCAGGACATTAAAGGAATGGCACAAGGAAAAATACAACAAAAAACACATAGCAAAAAAATATATTTTGGGTACAAGGGGACAATATAATGGTTTTGTCTAATGATTTTTTCAAATGTTTCATCATGTGTCAGAGCTAATGAAAATGATATAACATGAAGGAGTGAAAAATAAAATGATGAAAATGGAATCTTGAACTTTTAGGCCAGATGATTCATCGTTACCGTGGAAATGAAAGCAAACCTAATTTGTCATCAATATCAATAGTAGGTGTGACACAATAAGGAAGAAATCAACAACAAACAAAAACATGTGTATATCAAAAGTTTGGTGTTCCGTATCAGTGAAACGCGATCCCCCATCAAGCCACAGTGACCCCAGAACAGTGTCAATCAAAACGTAATCCAGCCCTTTCACAGCAAGAACAAGCTGTAAAAGTAAGAAAACCACAATGACTTTTAAAAATTTAGTCCACCCAGTTCAACCGATCACAAACACTGAATCGGTGTTATTCATTCAAGTTATCAATACCGCCCTGTATTTTTTTGTGGTTTTTCATTCAACTTTTTGGATTATATCACACCACTGTTTTAGAATTCTGTGGTTTTTTTTATCTTCATTTGAACAAATATAGTATTTAACTACACTTATTACCTAATTTGAAACAAATCTTTTCATGAATGAGAATTTATAAAAGTACATGTACCACAAAACTCCTCCTAATTCAGATATTAATATTGTGTTTCTAGATCCTTTCAAAGAAGTTTAAAAAAAAAAAAGGAGGAAGCAAAATATTAATAGATTTAGTATTACCTGCAATTCAATAGTGTATTTTAGTATGAATTGCTCACTCACATTTGTAGAATACAAGTACGCTTTACATGTATGAAGCACAACCATATGAAACTTCTCATAAAACTTCTGTTTTGTGACACAATATCTTTTTTTTTTTCATTTTGATGCTAATAATAACAAATAACAAATGCCAACTTTTATTTTTTTAATACGAAGATAGAAAATTCCTCTTTAATGTGGAGATTATTTTTGATAATGTCTTTATGAAAATTTACGTGGATAAAAAAGCCTTGAGATTCTGTTTGTGTACTTTTGTGCAATCGTATTATATGATGAAAAAACAATTTTCAAATTTTATGGCACAAGTATGTAAAACAAACAGTTAATGACCTCTACGAACATTTTTTAATAAATACTTAACTGTGTTTCATGTGGATCTCCCATTCTTCTTAAATGATTCAATGTGGAAAGAAATCTATATAAAAATTCATATTTATTGTCCGTTTTATTGATGTTTTCTTTTAAATAAATTTATCTGCAGTATTACATATCTGGGATTATAACAGACACTGCGACATCTGCTCGGGATCTCCGCACCACAATAAATAATCGGTGTACCATCAGTCTTCTTTCCCGCCCTAATAAGATAGCTTGAATACCGTAAAATCTTTGTGAAAAAGGAAAGTAAGGTTTTATATGACACAGCGAGAGCACAGATGTGGTGTATTACTATCATCAAATTATCATTATCTTTCATTGAACAATTGTCATGGTTTTATTAGATTTAGTGCGTGTATAAAATAGCATACGAATATTGCATTTGAGAGTAACAGCCCCTGATGAAAATGATTCCTAAGCGAGGGAGATCAATAATACTTAAGGTGTCTTAATCGCGAACATCAGCTTGGCTGTGTCGTCCGATCGCCTGATCAATCGATGACACTTAGACTATCTTAATACTCGGATATATCATTGACA